TGATTCATTCTCTGTAGAGGTGAGGCAAGGCAAAATGAGCTTCGAGGTTAAACGTTGCGTTCAAGAATATTGCACTTATATGAAGTGACGTGCATGCACGTGTATGTGTATATGTATGTGTGTCTGCTCATGTCGTTTTTACAGAACAAGCCACTGATACACCATGCCGAAGTTTTAACATGAATACCCCACTTTGACACTGTATACTGACCACAAACTGACCAGTCTTATCCCCTCAATGCTGAGCGCCAGGCGGGGTAACAAGTGAACCATATTTTAACGTTACTGGGCAGATATTCTCTACCTTTACGCAGATGCTTAAGGAAGTTCAGGCGTGGTATACATACCCTCAATATACAATTATACAGACACTCCAAAGATAATGAGGCTTTAACATCGATGTGTCCTTTCTGCAAATATAACCAAGAAAATGAATACCATGTTTTATTGATTTGTCCAGTATATGAGGATATAAGAATCAAATACCTGCCTAACTATTATTATACGTATCCATCACAAAGAACATTTGTACAGTTAATGAACAGCAAAAATAGCCACATTCTTCTCAGACTTGCAGTTTGTGTTTAAAAGATATTTGAAAGAAGTATAAAACATTGAATATAAATAAAACTGTGTACACCATATTTAGCTACAATCTAATCAGTATACAAGTGGTGCTTCACGACGGATTGTTTTACAACAAAATGTCATTGTGCTATTGGCCTTATGGCCACACATACGAAATAAGTCTGTCTGATACTCTATCCATACGACAATGGAGGCGGTCTGGCCCACCTTATTTCAGAGCAAGGGATTTACAAATAAATTGATGCTTATTTATGCCATGTAACCTGGATAACTTCCTTCAATTGTTAGTTTGTTTTGGTTTGGTTTTGCGTATTCTCTTTATTTGAATATAATTAACAAAGACACTTATTTGTCTTTTTCACAGGGAAAGTGTATATTTAGATCATGATAGTGAATATAGTTTGTGATTGGTTCTGATTATGATACACGCTGCACTGGTATGGCTCAGTCTGTGTGACTTCACTGCGTTTGGATAAGCACCTTTTTCTAACTGTATACATATTCAGATATATACTCATAAAGGAACAATCGGACCCAATTGCCTCGAACTCCTGGGGACCAAAGAAATAGTTCGACTTATCCGAACTATTTGAATTCGACCTGGATCTTGATAAGTTTTACCTTTTAACTTTGGGGACTATAAATTGAACTCAAAACACCCATGTCTAGCATTCAGGTAACAATACTATAAATATGGTAAGATGTTGGACTGTGATTTCGGCTGGACTCGTGGAATCGGCACATCCGAGTTCAAGACATCGGGGTTCGACTGTATATGTACGTCTGCATAATTGCATAAGGATTTTCATATATTTGTCACATGAATGAAACTGGTGACATTTTAGAAATTAAAATTAATCGCCTCTGTATGTTTATATTGTATGGCACAGTGTTACGAGGGGATTTCCGAATTAAAACGCGAAGGTTAACTTAGGAAACGGTTCAAACTATATTGCCAAATCAGTAAATCAGCATACAATATAAATGAATAAAAAACAACTTCTATTGACAAACATAATTGTAGGTCTACAGTCACAAAGGGGTTATACATTTGGTCAACTATGGGCAATACATAACAGGCCATTTAACTAATGCAGCACTAACAAGAGTTATCTGATGATAAAAGTATATAAATTACACCATGAATGTTAGTACAATAGTGTTATTAGAATAGTGCTTCCAACATCTTTCGTTCCTTAGATACGTTTTCAGATACAATGTTTGTAATAAAAACGATATCTTACGGGGATTCATTCAGTGATCTATCACATAATATGTCACATACGAATATGTCAGATATCATGGAAGAATGTAATACTGGTTGGTTTTCCCCATGACTATAAAGTCTGTATTTGTTTAAGGGACACAGCTCAAAGAATTCTATTTGATCTTAGCATTTTCATGTTTGCCAAGACATCATGGAAATTAATAGGATAAATTGCTTTGAAATAAAACAATCATTATATTCCTGAATATGAGGTCACCGTGAACATACTTTAAAGTCTTTATTGCATGTACAACAGGTTACATGGCTTCGTATTGGGAGTGAGACTTCACAACTCTGACACTGGAAATGGTGCAGAAACAAATCAAAGTGACAATACCGACTATGATAGAAAGACACCCACGTGTTCCTGCAAGTACATATTTTACACAGCGACATGTAGCTGCATTGTGTACGTCAAGCTGTAACACACTGAAATCTGCATATGTCCAGTTATAAACGTTTGTAAGAAACTGTTATGTAATCTTCTAAACATTAAAGTTAGCCATGTTCCTAGAATTTGTAAAGTACAATGGTTTTTCTATGGAATCGAAATGCATACCGAAACGTCAAAACTACATCGACACAAATCACTCCCACTAATTTCAACATAACACGGGGGTACGGGTGGCCCAGTCGTCTAAGGCGCCGCGATTCGCTGTGCAGAGCTGCGTCCCTTGGGCACGCCAGAGACCTATGATTGTTGGTTCGAATCCAGGTTCGCCCAGTTTATGTTTCTAGGTTTGTCAGCACCATACCCGTGCTCTTGGGTTTCACCAAAGTGGTAAACGTCTGAGACCTCCATCACTTCGGGCTTTCCTCCCACATTAAGCTGACACGCCGTGATATTACTGGAATACTGTTAACAGCAGCGTTAAATCCAACTCACACACTCACTCAATTCAACTTAAAACAATGCCCCAGGAAAGTTCGGTACACACTGAAATGTGCATATGTCCAGTTAGGAACATTTGAAAGAATCTATTAAGCAACATAAAGGATTTTTTCGTCATGAAGTTAGCTTAGTCCTAGCATTTGTAGAGTAAAATGTTTGTTTTTTATGGAATTGATATGCTTACCGAAACATCAATGCTACATCGACACAAATGACAAATAGCTCGTTATTTTCTGCAAACCAAATTCGGTCGACTAACCCCTAATGGAGGTTGTAAAACTGTATATGAATACTGTAACACTGGACACCATAATAACAATGATAACTCCTTTCTAGACCACTTTTAGAGCTGCTGCAGCTCTATCTTTTCCCCAGACTCAGTGTAGTGAATGATAACATTCTCAGAATTACTAGTGGCATCTGAACTAGGCAATTTGTCACCAACTACTGGAGCATGGACATAGGTGGGAACATGACTTGAGTTTCCATATATGGCTTCTGATCTTTGATTGGGTGAACGTATCTCCATGCGTGCAGGATCTGTATGGAGGTTGTTAACATTTCCGTCTATATGATATGGTTGGGATGACTGCAAGGCGACGTATCTCTCTTCCATAACACTTTGTCTGTCTGTGGAAACTGCTTGTCCCAGTTGACTCGGAACATAAACCCCTGGCAATTCTACTGATGTGTGGTTCACGGGGCACGTTGATGTTAGTGGTGTGGATGTAAGCAAACCGCCATTGTTATAGCTTCCGTGTGGAATTGACGATGATTTCATAAGAAACTGGCCATCGGTTGTCACCCTGAAACAATATCACATGCACTTGACATAACATTTCAGATAAAATAGGACTTAATCAAAATAGTGATGCTATTGTGACATATAATACAAAATCAAGATGTAAAAGCCTCCAGCGCTTACGAATTCGTATCTAATGAAAAAGACTCCAAACTAAATGGAAGCCCCATATACTCATGAACGTAAACCACTGAATCATTCAATATTATACACAGTGAAGCCTAATTAATTTCAAATATTGGTTAACATAATTTCAGTGTTTTTGCAAAGTCCCCACTGACATATGTAGCCCATGGAAAATAAGGTTTCACTTGGAACAAATAGCAATAGAGTTCATTTCACCACAATGCATTTCTACAAGGTCCCCAAAACAACATACTTAAAGTTCCAAGCAATCCCAGTTTGGGAAATATGTCTAATTTACATAATCCAATATGGCAACCAACTGTCAATAGTATTTTCCTTATTTCAGATGAGGTTCAATGTTTTGATGAAAAACAGCTTGTGTTGTGTTGCAAAATAGCCATATTATGTTTGTAAAAATATATTCATAACTATTGATCGTTTTCGACTATTGACAAATCTACAAAACATCAAGATGGCCGGCAATTTCAAGATGGCCGACACATTTCCTAAATATGAGTTTAGAATGTTGAAGCTTTTATATCTGAAACAGTGTGCTGGGACTAATATGCATAAAACTTGTCACACTAACTGACTGGCCCAAAATTCCAATATGACCTCCAAGACATGGACAGACATGGAATATCAATACACTGTTGGTCTCTCATGACATATTTGATTTATTGATTTGGGACTTTTAGAATGTTCTTTGGGGGGCCTTGTAGAAATGCTCTGTCCGTATTCTTAGATAAATGATAGATATTTTGATAAATGTCTGATGGTACTGTCCTCTTCGAGGTCTCATATGGTTTCGTGAGATTTCAAAACTGTTCTGCAAAACAGCGTATACAATATATGTGTTTGGGCTGTCAACTCAAGCATGATTTCCACATTGCTCTCACCTATCTTTAAGTGTACCATGGTTGGTTGTCAGGTCATGTAAAGTTGTTGCCTCAGTTATAATCCTTGAAATATCATCGTAATGTTGTGCCTCTGCTTTTTGTAAAGCAGTTTCTTCTTTATCGTCTTTCTCATAAACATTTGCCTTGTTCTGTAATAACACCTCCACAACCTCCCTGTGTCCTTGCAAGGTTGCATCATGTAGAGGTGTGCAGCCTTCCTTATCTTTCTCATCCACATTTGCCTTGTTCTGTAATAACACCTCCACAACCTTCCAATGTCCCTGCTGGGCTGCATCATGTAGAGGTGTGCTCCCTTCCTTATCTTTCTCATCCACATTTGCCTTGTTCTCTAATAACACCTCCACAACCTCCCTATGTCCCTGCCAGGCTGCATCATGTAGAGGTGTGCGGTCTTCCTTATCTTTCTCATCCACACTTGCCTTGTTCTCTAATAACACCTCCACAACCTCCCTATGTCCCTGCCAGGCTGCATCATGTAGAGGTGTGCGGCCTTCCTTATCTTTCTCATCCATATTTGCCTTGTTCTGTAATAACACCTCCACAACCTCCCTGTGTCCCTGGGAGGCTGCACGATGTAGAGGTGTGCGGCCTTCCTTATCTTTCTCATCCATATTTGCCTTGTTCTGTAATAACACCTCCACAACCTCCCTGTGTCCTTGCAAGGTTGCATCATGTAGAGGTGTGCGGCCTTCCTTATCTTTCTCATCCACATTTGCCTTGTTCTGTAATAACACCTCCACAACCTCCCTATGTCCCTGCCAGGCTGCATCATGTAGAGGTGTGCGGCCTTCCTTATCTTTCTCATCCATATTTGCCTTGTTCTGTAATAACACCTCCACAACCTCCCTGTGTCCCTGCCAGGCTGCACGATGTAGAGGTGTGCGGCCTTCCTTATCTTTCTCATCCATATTTGCCTTGTTCTGTAATAACACCTCCACAACCTCCCGATGTCCTTGCCAGGCTGCATCATGTAGAGGTGTGCGGCCTTCCTTATCTTTCTCATCCACATTTGCCTTGTTTTGTAATAACACCTCCACAACCTCCCTATGTCCCTGGTCGGCTGCGAGATGTAGAGGTGTGCTGCCGCCTTGATGTTTCTCATCCACATTTGCCTTGTTCTGTAATAACATCTCCACAAGCTCCCTATGTCCATGGTGGGCTGCAAGATGTAGAGGTGTGTTGCCATCATTACGTTGTTCATTCACATTTGTCCTGTTCTGTAATAACACCTCCACAACCTCCCTATGACCGTGGTAGGCTGCAAGATGTAGAGATGTGTTGCCATCATTACTTTTTTCATCCACATTTGTCCTGTTCTGTAATAACACCTCCACAACCTCCCTATGTCCCTGCCAGGCTGCAAGATGTAGAGGTGTGTTGCCATCATTACGTTTTTCATCCACATTTGCCTTGTTCTGTAATAACACCTCAACAACCTCCCTTTGTCCCTGGTAGGCTGCATCATGTAGAGGTGTGCTGCCATCATTACGTTTCACATCCTTATTTGCCTTGTTCTGTAATAACACCTCCACAACCTTCCTATGTCCCTCAAAGGCTGCACGATGTAGAGGTGTGCGGCCTTTCTTATCTTTCTCATCCACATTTGTCTTGTTCTGTAATAACACCTCCACAACCTCCCTATGTCCCTGGTAGGCACCGTCATGTAGAGGTTTGCCGCCATCATTCTGTTTCTCTTTCACATTTGCCTTGTTCTGTAATAACACCTCCACAATCTCCCTTTGTCCCTGCCAGGCTGCACGATGTAGAGGTGTGCCGCCATCATTACGTTTCTCGTCCACATTTGCCTTGTTCTGTAATAACACCTCCACAACCTCCCTTTGTCCCTGGTAGGCTGCATCATGTAGAGGTGTGGGGCCATCATCACGTTTTTCATCCACATTTGCCTTGTTCTGTAATAACACCTCCACAACCTCCCGATGTCCCTGGTCGGCTGCAAGATGTAGAGGTGTGCCGCCATCATCACGTTTGTCATTCACCTTTGCCTTGTTTTGTAATAACACCTCCACAACCTCCCTATATCCTTGCCAGGCTGCAAGGTGTAGAGGTGTGCTGCAATCATTACGTTTCTCATTCACATTTGACTTGTTCTCTAACAACACCTCCACAATTTCCCTATGTCCCTGGTAGGCTGCAAGGTGTAGAGGTGTGCTTCCATCATCACGTTTGTCATTCACCTCAGCCTTGTTCTGTAATAACACCTCTACAACCTCCCTATGTCCCTGCTGGGCTGCAATGTGTAGAGATGTGCTGCCATCATCACGTTTGTCATTCACCTTTGCCTTGTTCTGTAATAACACCTCCACAACCTCCCTATATCCCTGCCAGGATGCAAGATGTAGAGGTGTGCAGCCATCATTATCTTTCACATGAATTATTCCCTTGTTCTGTAATAACATTTTAACAACTTCTGTGTTTCCATATATACATGCCAAATGAAGCCCAGTTTCACCCTTCTTGTTTTGCTCACCAATGTCCACTAGTTCCTGTAACAGATAGCTTACAAAGCTAACATTTCCAACTGCACATGCGTAATGTAAAGGTGTTGATCCTTCAGGGTCTGTTATATTGACATTCAGTTTTCCCATTTTCGTAATTGTATCCATGGTATCTTTGCCCTTTAGGCACAAGTATGCAAAATGTACATATGTATTTTGGGGGGTATTTTTTTTCTTGTTCATCTTTATCAAATAACACAATCTGGAAGCCACTGCAAAAAACCCACCCATACAGGCAATGTCCAAAAGTGAACATTTACCAAACTTGACTCCCAGATCATCTACAACTGCCAACTGCAGTTTGATGATAAGAGGTCTTGGGAGTTCGGGTAGCGTCATACACAGCGTATCCAACTTCCAGTTATTTTTTTAACACAAGTACTCGAAGTTGGCCAAACTACTCCCAAAGCAACTTCCAAACAAAGCTTCCTGTCTGTTCTTTACCTCAAACTGAACACTGTTCAATGCTTTCTTCAGCAAATTCGAGTTGTCTGTGATGCTCGCCCAAAACAGAAAGGAATATCCATATATAATGTCATTTTTTGACAATACTTTCAACAGTTCAGATCTGTCCTTGTTCAGATTATGCAAGAGATTCTCCCAAACCATATCAACCAATGCCTCTACCTGGAATACGGAATGCATGCACACAAAGGCAAACTTTCTTCCATACACAGCTGTAGCAAACCGCTTCGCTACAATATGCAGATCTTCATGTTTCAATTCGATTTTAAAAGGCACATCTAGTTGTTCCTCTTCGGTTGGATCCCCGCTAGATGTCACATAACGAAATATGAACTCGAGATCCATCCTTTCAACCAACTGTCTCACATCACGTAGCAGTATTTCTCTTAGCTTTATTGCTACTTCATGATTTCTTATTCTATATGAGCCTGCTTCATGATGGAGACAGCATCCCGCCAATTGGGATAAAATAGGTTTCATCATATTTTCAGTGTATTCTTCTTCATTGATGTCAAAAGCCTTGAGTGCCCAAACAATATATTTTTTGTAGGTTTCTCTTTCCACGCGAGTCCCTGTGTCAGACCCTGCCCATAGCATCCTCTCCTCCAGGTTATTCTCCGCCAAAGCAACCACTAACAAGCATGCCATCTTCTGCTTATGCAACAGGTGCTGATCCAAACATGGATAGTCCTCTGTATCTGTGAAAACAAATAACGTTTGTAAGAAAGCAGTGTACAACATTGCACATGTAGATCTAAAGTATAATACCTTGCGTAACGCCTTACAATTACGTAACAAAGTAATGATCTCCAGAATGCATACTTTCATCACTGGCGACAGCACAGTCGGTTCCTTCATGTGATTCATGTCCATCCTCTTCAGGAATAGTTGGACCTCCTTGTTCTGTTGTCATTGTACAGCTATTTTCCAGTACATCTCTTGTCTCCAGCGTTACAGTTTGAATTTCGTTTCTGACATTACCCTGTCCATCAACTGCCATCATGTGATTTCCTCCACCTTGCATATCTCCCTTGTCCTTGGCATACTGTAGTATCCTCTGAAGCACATACAGCCTGTATTTCTCAACGTGACAGTTCCTCATGATGCCTGGAGACTTCTCCGACAAAATTGCATCAGCAGCCTGAGAATATGAAAGTTAGAAATGAAAAGGTATCTTTCATACGTGGTTATTGAGACACATGTTGCCTTTCATATAAAAAACATAGCTTCAAACCAACCTACCATCAGAACGAATATCCCACAGCTGTGTCCATCAGACTGTTCTATCACTGGGTACTGTTTCTTCATCCATGACTTGCTCCCTTCCTTAGGCGTAGATTTCAAGTGGTTTACAAAGAGCCTGAGGAATACATGTATATTACTCGATGGCCATAACATCTTCAACTCATGTGGACTGGTGTTAAAGTAAAGGTAGAGCAGAAGGTAAATACAGCAGTGCCTAAAATATCCGGTCCTGGCATTTCTGATGTTCTCTCCTGCTTTATCCATCATTAGGTTTAATGTTAGCAAATACAGATGTTATGGTTTAAATGAGTGAGTGACATAACTGTATTTATGGCGTTTAAATCATTCACACAGTGTACCCATTTGGGGAACTGAGTAACCCTGTGAACAAGTTGTTCTATATCTTCTACCCAAAAGTAAAAGCTACAAATGTGAGTGTATCGAGAATTTTTCAATGGGTCTTATTTATATTCATGTTTGTTTTTGACAAATCAACATCTCAAATTTGATAGTTTGGTTTTAAAGGATTTGCGTAATGACCAAATAAAAATACATTCTTGATGATTTTTAAATATAATCATGTACTTTTTTAATGTGCAGCCACACGTCCTGTTTTTTTGTATCTACCTCTAGCGTTGTACAAATGGGTCTTCCACATCTAAGGCGGGTTAAGAATTGACCACGCCCACTGTTCTGTCCACCTACCTCCAGTGTTCTACAACTGTGTCCTCCACATCTAAGGCGGGTTTAGAATTGACCACGCCCACTGTACCATCCTTGACATTAGCCACCAGTAGTACCCAATGTTGATTACACGGCATGTTCACTGGCATTAAGATCCATGTGTAGTTTGTCAAATTTTCCTGAAAGTTCACAACAAATGCCTTTCCGGTGTACAATCAATATATCCAGAAACACGTGCTTCACATAAGATGGATATGGTGTAGTAACAGAGATATAAGTGAATTGGTATCATGAACTTGGTACTGAGAACTTCTAAGGAACTCTCTCTGACAACCAGATTTTCACTTCGTCCCAATAATATGTACTAAGATGAATATGTTCATGTGCAATATCTGCTTTTGTAACTGCATATTGAAAACGAATAGCATTATGATCAATGGGGCTACTGGCTTTTACTCAATCTAAACCCATTGCAGGACATGAATCTTTCATGTGCACAATTGCAAGTGGCAATTACTATCATACTGAATACGCAATCATGGCATAGAAGAATCATATGTTATCACAAGAAATATACAATTACTACAAAGTATCCTCCGAGTCTTGCCCTTGTTCTTGGTAGGGTTGACATGCAATTGTACACTCGGAATGACAGAATCATAAGAAATATAAAAATCTCATGTCACTCACATCTTTCCCCCTTATTCTGTCTGTGTACTGTCCTGCCTCCCACAGAAGGATAGTCTCTGTAGGCAGCACCAGGCAGTGGAAGCTGACACGGGAACACCACGCTCTCTCCAGGAGGTGCAGGTATGTGTCCATGATCTGGACAGGTAAGAGTTCATTTATTAGAATATTTATTATACTGTTTAATCCCCCAATGCTTTCGCTTTAAAGGGAACGCTTGTAATTTCAAATCAAAGCAGGATCCGCTGCACATCAAATATCCATCATGAAGGGAATATCTCGGCTGTTAGCAATGACTGACAATTGAACTGATGATTTAATAGATTTTGTGCACAATGCCCATTGCAGGTAAGTAGTGTTATCATTGCAGAATCGAGATGCATGGCAATGAGTTGATAATTAGCACTATTATATTAATTGATAGTTAACTAATACTGGTGTAAAAAGAAGAAACCGTCAAACGTTGCTGTATTAATCTTAAGATGGGGGCTCAGTGGTCCAAGACGCCGCATTTCGCTTTGCAGATTCACCATGGGAATCAACAAAGTAGTAAACGTCTACGATATGCATCACTTTGGAATTTCTTCATAATTTAATCAAAGTCATCATGACACTACTGTTCAAAGAGGCGCTTAACCAAACTCACGCTCTAGCTTGCTTACCTCAAGGCACTATCAATGAGTATCACGTGACTGAACCACTCACCACCCTCACGCCCCAATTTTTTTTATTTTCTTAGATGATTAACTACGCATGTAGTTTGTGTGATTGTGTAATAGAGCAGATGGACTACTTACTTCATCTGTCAGCCACTCGTTGGTTTCCAGGCGAGACAGAATATCTCCTCTGATGGTGTAGCAGCCAACTGTGTATGTACAGTCACGTGACAGGGGGACGTCCTCTTGTACATGCTGCAGGTGTGAAGGAGGATCCTTCAGTGTTTTCAAAAAGTCCTGTACTTCAGTCCTGGTATGGCATGCTCCAACAAGCACTGCTGCGATGAGGTTTATGTAAACTGACCGGTCTTGGTTCAAGCTCAGCACGTCAGTATTTACAGAACATTTAACCCAGTTCCTTGCTTTTATTGCATCTAGATTCCAGTTCTTGTCGACCTCTTCAATGAGTGACAAGCACGGATTGCCTTTGTTGGTACAGTCCTTGTTCCAGAACCTTGATAAAGATAAAACCTGTTGCACGACCTTGATCACATCACGATTTCTTTCAACGCCATCAAGAAATGTGTACAGATAAGCGTAGGGTGTGTTAGTGACACAGGTTACAACTGTGTTGTCATTGTCAACTTGAGGCTGCCAACGGGGTTTTTTGACAGGGGAGCCTGACGTTGTACCCAAATATTCAATGTCATCATCACTTCTATGATCTCCTGTCCTGCTGCGTTTCTGATTTGTGTCATGATCATTCTTTGTTTCAGTCTCTGACACCTTTGCTTCATTCAATGTTACACCTAGAATAGTGTTTGATTTACCGTTGTCTTCCAATTCTGTCGGTGATGAATGATCTTCAGGGTCCAGGTTGGAGTTAGTGTTCTCCGTGACCCCCGACTGCACAGCTCCACCAGTTGATTCAACTTTCCTACATTTACTGTCACCTGAGGTATTAACTGTCTGTTGACCACGCTTCTTGCGTTGTGGAGCAGGCTGTGCTTGTGTGTGGTCCCCGATATATTGCACTAGGACGTGTTTCAGAGGCTGGTTGTACAGATACGATGCTTCTCTGACAAAGGCCCTTGTTGTCGTCTTGTCCTCGGTGTAAGCCTTGTGGTACTGTTTCACTATGACTGGACTTGAGCCAGGCTGCTTCCGAGTTCCATCACTTCTGAAGTGATATTTGTCATCCTTCCAGATATCTGCAAATAGAAATTAACATCATAACATTGCAAACAATGTTGTAATCCTGAAGATGAACTATCCCTCAAAAAGCTTTGTTTGTTAGTGTGTCACCTGTGATGTAGATGTTAATTAATAAAACTGTGAAAAGTCAATAGTGTAACATCAACCCACCTCAATGCCAAATCAGCTGTAAGGTCATGCATAAATATGTTGTATTAGAGGTTGTGATGATAAATACCATGTCCTTTTTTTCCTTCCCTGAGATGCAACACGATACTTGATTCTTGTTTAGCCCATATTGATTAATCCAACAATGGATTTTCTACAAGTTGACATCAAACAATGTTCATTATTTAAGTACACAATTGTTGTAAAGGGGATGGAAAGAGTGAAAAGAAAAACATAAAT